TATATATATGCTATTTGCTTTAATCATTACAGATCGATTTAAACTGATCGATGATAATCGATCATCTGATATATAACAAAATGTATCATACTTCGATATATATCGAATAATAATATATATCGGTATATAACGAATTAATCGATATATATCGATATTTTTTAATCAATATATATCAATTTATTGCTATATATTGATTTATATCTTTTTAAAAAATTTTCTGATGTAGGGCTTGGAACTGGATAACTTTTAACTGATTAATCCAGATCTATTCGAATATTTGGATAAAGATTTGATTTATATAGGTAATATAGTACAGATATATCTGTTAGATTTATTCAGGTTATATAGCATGGATATACCCATTAGATACATATATATATAGTATATCGATATTAGAGTAGCTGCATGACACAGTCACACTAATACCAAAAATGTTATACTATATAAGTACATCTTAAATTTTATGAAACAGAATATATTATTTACATTATTTTGTTTTCATTTTAATGATAAATATATGTCATATAAGTACTATTTATGCATCAAATAGACTTGATTAAACCTAAGTGATTTATTTGTTATAAAGAAAAGAAAAATAAATCTGTTATTGGATGTTTCACATCCAATAATAGTGCATCTGGCTTTGAATTCAATGAGCTCGTAAACTAATAAAGATTGATTCAAATATAATGAACAAAAAAATGAAAAAAATCATTAATAATAGCTTGGGTAACTTTAATCTGGTTTAGAATTTTTTAAACTATTTATATAAGTTTTGAGAAATTTTATTTCTTATACATATATAAAATTTATAGTTCAAACCGATTGACTATCGTAAGTCTTATACATCTGTCAATTGTACTGCTTAATTAATTTTTATACACTTATAATCAGAACTTTTATTTTATATTGTATGACTGAACACTTTTACTATTAAAGCTAACAAGATAGTATGCTATAATTATTATACTAAATAAAAGAGTTACAGTACAATTTCCTAAGAGTTATTTTCTCTAATCAACAACACATAGGGTAACAACTTACTAAGGATATATACTTGCAACCAATCCTAACCCTATGTGATATCAGGTAAGTGGTCTATAAGAGAAATAATTTTTGGAAAATTGAGCAACAATCTTTTTAAGCTATTGATACACATAATAAAGAAAGAATATTTAATGTTTATGAAAAAATATCACAATATGAGTTATTTTTTCTAACAAATAATAGATAATTAATAATATTTGGAGCCAGAGATGTTCTTTGAAAAGTAATTATATTTCCTGTGTTAGAGAATAACCTTTTATATAGAACTGATGTTGCTGGAATTGCAAGATATTTTCTTGCTATTTGACTTAATATAGGAAAGGTATTTTTGTATGACTGCTACCAAAGATAAACATTTTCATTATAAAGTGGAATTGGAGTAATCATCAGATTTAAATAACTTTGAATTTCAACTTCATGATTAATTGAAGATTCTGTTTAAGAAAAAACCTTTTTTAAAAAATTTGGTACAGAGACAGTTTGAGAATCTTCAAATTCATTTGGTATAATAGTATTTTCCTAAATTTTAAATTCACTTCGAAGTTGTTCAATTGTTTCATTACATGTAGATTGTGACTATGCTTTCATAGCTTTAAGACAGGGATCAAATAATGTTGCCAATCGACCAATTTGTTCTGAATCTGACCAATAATACCAAAGCGAATTATAAATTACATTTTCTATGTTTTTAATAATCGAGTCAACTGATGATGAATTATCAAAATTATTCTTAATTAAGCTTGAATTTTCATTATCAGAAGTTATACTCTTATTATAAATAGGTTCTTTAAATAATTCTAATTTTTTACTAGACAGTAATCTATTTGCATATTTATATTTTAATGCTTCGATGCTAGGATTTACAATTGAAAATGTAACATATTGTATTCCACTAAAATATATTGTCAATTCTTCAAATGGTTGAAATAATTGAACTAAATGTTTACATAATTCCCATTCACAGTCTTGAAGCATATATTTATTTAATATTCTAGCATCCTTTCTGGCACCAATGTTAGTTTGAAGATATAAAATTGCATTAAGCCATTTAATAGCTAGTCATAATTCTAAAAGTTGTTGCCAAGATTTATAACTCGAATTCCATCTAGTTCTAGTGTCATTAATTGTATGTAAAATTTTTATTTCAGATTGAATATCTAAAATTACATCGTTATTTTCAAGATCTTCAATTTCAGGTAATAAATTAGAATTATCAAAATGAAGAAGAGTAGATTATTCTTTATTACGATAGGCAAGATCAATTTAAGCTTGGTCTAAATATTCACTACATTTTGGAGAACAAAAAAATGTAATTAATTTTTAAATTCAATTTATATATGGGGCAATTTTTTTAAACACTTGAAAAACTGTTAATTGTAAAGTATGAGCAGAACAAGCAAGATGCTTTACTTTATCCTAAAGCCTAATAGCCTTTTTTATATTACTATTGTTATCTGTTATTATACTGATAATTTTACTACTAAGATCAAATTCTTCGATTTTTGATTTCAAATATTGGTTAATGCATTTACCAGTATGTGGATATTCAAACTTTTTTACAGCCAAAACTATATCACGTATTTCAAAATCAGAAGTTAACTAATGCAATATTATGCCTATATAACTATCTTGACTTTGAGCAGTCTATAAATCTGTTGTAAGTGCTGCAGTTTTACAAGTAGTTTGAATTAGTTTTTTTAATTGTTCTATGGCTATTTGATATGCTTTTCCAATTATCATTTTTATTGATTTATTACTAGAAATTTTGAATACAGGATCAAATTTTTGTATCATTTTATGATATCCTTTTTTATGAATAGTATTTAGAGAAAGTGAATCTGTAATTAATCATTTAACTGTAACATTACAAAGCTCTGCTTGTTTTGGTGCTTTGTAAGGTTGTACATTTAATAGCATATTAGTAATTTTTAACTGATTTTTATTTTTTAAGTTATCTAATTGGTTTGAAGAATAAATATTATGCCTAACTCGAAGATGATATTGCATATTATTCATTCTACCATCATATTTATAAGTAGCTCCACACTTTACCTCTTTTCTTTAGATGAAATAAGAATTTTACATGTTGTTTTTTGATTTCTAAGCTGAAAATATAACCATACATAACTATCTTTCTAGTTATTTTTATAAGAATCGAAGCTGGTTTTTACTTTTTTAGACTGTAGTTCATTTTCAGAAGAATCAGGTAATTTTTCGCTTGATGAACTTGATAGATTATTTTCAAACTCAGAATTGGTAACATTATTAAGATTATTTTTATTATCGAATTCTATAGAGATAGGATAAGCAAAAAAATTGCTAACAAAATTTTGAACAAATTTATTAAATATATATATAGATATAACTAGCATATATTGTATTATTAGTAGAAATACAGCTTTATGAACAGATTCTAATTTTTATATTATTTAATAAACTAGGAAAATAATTTATAGATAGGCATTGAATTTAAAAAAAAAGTTATTAATCAACAATATTAACTTTTTTTGAAAGTAAACTATATATATTTATTAGACATAAAAGTATGCATTCATATAATAAATTAAATTAGCAATTCATAGTAATAGCTAGATTTTCATATGCGCAAAGTAGACAGATTATAATATTAAAGTTTTTGCAGTTATTGAAAACTTTGCTAAGAAAAAATATCTGATGTGAATATAACTAACTACCTTTAAGCAAATACAATAATTTGTTTAAAAAAGTTTTTATGCATTTTATCTATTTACTTAAACAAGCAACCATTTAAGCTTATAAATTCATATAATTTAGATCTGCTAACAATGAACTAATTTTTTTCAATCTCGAGTTATATATAGATACTGCAAGATAATACTTGAATAATTTATGCCTTTAGTTCAAATAAAGTTATTAATCGATAATTTCAAATTTTTTTTCAAATATAGTGCATAATAGCATTTAGTCTATTAACTACTAAATCAGAACAATGAATTTGATATTAAAACTGGGATAATCTGTTTAATACATATATGCTTACAGCTTTTTCAAATTATGCAACAACTGATAAAAAAAATTACCTAATATTAATTGACATCTATTTAAGCATTTGACTTAGTATAACTTATTACTTTTTTTAAATGTATAAAGCTAAATTTTGTACTATTAAAATATACAAGATATTGTACATCAAGATTGATACTTGTATAATATTAATACTATAATGAATATTTGTATCTTCTTATTTCTATATTTGTTTAATTCTTTAAGTAGTTACTTTCTATAATTATACTATTATAGTTATGTTAATCTTACCTTTGTAGTTTTAGGCATATTATGTACTTCTTGAGGTTTAATGTATTACATATATGCTCAGATTAAAGCATATGCACTTAAGGTCTTAACACAGAATCAAAAATTTATCGAATTTAGCCAAATAATTATCAGCCAATTTTTATTATTTAACACAGAATTTATAGTTGTAATATATATACCTAGGTAATCCAGGTAATCCAGATATATCTAAATAATCAAGTTGCTTAACTGCAGTTAATCTGGGTAAGGTTTTTTTAAACAGGTCTAACCCCTACACAGAATCAAAAATTTATCAAATTCAGCCAAATAATTATCAGCCAATTTTTATTATTTGATACAGAATTTATAGTTGTAATATATATACCTAGGTAATCTGGATAATCCAAATATATCTGAATAATCAAGTTGCTTAATCGCAGTTAATCTGAGTAAGGTTTTTTTAAACAGGTCCAACCCCTACACAGAATTAAAAATTTATCAAATTCAGCTAAATAATTATCAGCTAATTTTTATTATATGATACAGAATTTATAGTTGTAATATATATACCTGGATAATCCGGGTAATCCAGATATACTTGAATAATCAAGTTGCCTAATTGCAGTTAATCTGGATAAGGTTTTTTTAAACGGGTTCAACCTCTAAGCTAAACTACAAAAAAATAATATAATTAATATATTAAACTTTATAAAAACTTTTTTAAAATACTGTATATATATTGTTAGACATTGAAATAAAGTTAAAAAAGAGTCACAGCCTTGTAGTAACAGTTTAAAGAACACATTGAGACTATAGAAGAAGTAGTTAGTGAAAGTTAAGATTTTTTATTAAATAAACAACAAGTTAAATATATTAGTTTTATATAACTGTAAAACTTATTCCTTAGATTGTAAGCTAATACAGACAAATTTGCCTATGTTTTTGTATTTTTTTTAGCTCTAATCTACTTTTTTGAATTTTTTTTTTTTTTTTTTTTTAACTCTTTGGCAGCCTTGCCAAGAACCTTTATTAAGAGAATTGCATACATAATTATACAAATATT